ATAGAATTAAACACACTTGACTATTTAAGTGTATTTATTGTATATCAAATGTCATCTTTTGTTATATGACTCATCAAACTTTTCTCAGCCGTTGTTTTCAAGGATTCTAGTCGAATTATTTGTTTCTTTTCATTTTCCTACCTTGGATGATTTAACACATCTTTGTAATATTTTTCATAGAAAAGCCGATTTAAATATGCTTTGCGAAGACAATATTGTTATTAGTATCGCAAAATTCATCGATAACAACATACATACGTACATCATTTTTGCACAAACTTATCATGAAACAACATAAGAAGTTACTAATTTACAATCTATTATGCAAAAACTTCTTTTTTACCCTGAAACTGATATTAATTTTTTTTCTGTTTTTTTTTCAGTACTCTAATCGAAGTGTAAGCAGTTAGNTTAATTTTAGTGTACTTTGGATAGAATGTTGTATTAATCAGTATTAACAAGCAGCTTCTCTTCAATTAATTTTTATCTATGCCAATTCATTAAAATGTATTATCTATCTATGTTAAAACGCATTAACTTCTGTAATTTCTTTGCATTCAGACGTTAAAACATGTTCATTACTATAATATCTTCGTTAAATGCGTTAAACGGAAAATAGCCATTTTCACGCGTTTATTTCTTGAATTTGTCTAGTAAACGAGTTTTATAGCGTTTTTTTCTTCAATTCTCATCGTCAATGCATCAAAACGGCGTTTTGTCATTTATCTGTCTGTATGGGAAAGTAATGCATATTTTCAAGAAAATGAAAACAAAATGCTAAACACAAACGTAAATTTTCATCTTTCTCCCATGAAAAATAATGTGAGTTTTTAAAACGTATTGCTTGTTATTTCTGTTGAACTCATGCAGTAGGAACAGGAATACTGCCAACTTCCTATGAAACCACTTAAACATTGAAACACACCAATGCTCGCAACTAAATGGTGATGCATTAGAATTAAAAGGCACATTAGTAAATATTTTTGCTACCGCTTTTGTATTATTGTGAAAACAGAGACGATAGTTTCTGCATGTAAATAGGAATTTCGCTACTAAAACTTCGTTGTAATAAGCAGAGCGATTGCGGAAAGAGCACGTATTTGGTATCGCTACTAAGTGCGATATGATCCAATAGGAAAATTGAGGTGAAAATTGAACTTTAAAATTCAAGTTGACTTGTGAACCTCGCTTTTTACCTCGATCTAGTACAGTGAAAAGGACATGACGAAAAAACTCAAGCAATCAATGCTTCATATTTTATCATGGATAATCAATAAAAGTTGTTCAATAATTCGAGAATTTTGTGAAATTTCAAAGAGAAAAGAATTGTGATAGGATGTAGTGGATGTTCATTTCCCATGAATTGTATAAACTCGAAAGAGGTTAGTAAAAACAACCAAAGGCTTATTCATATGTAAATGGTTAATATTGTTCTAAGAACAAGTTCATTTAAAAAATAGTCTCGTGATGAACTACTCTAGTGTTAACTGAATATTAACTAGACATATCGGCCACCATTATTATCACATTGAACTGTATCTGTGCATAAACACTTAAGTATCACAACCGCTAGGCCCATCAATAGAAATCCCCTCCTCTTTGATTGAAATAAATGCAACTATAGATTCTTCGTCGAAGACATTCGACGAAGGTAGAGAAAAACAAGAATATTTTCCGTTTTATAGCTGTAATATGTAGTCGGATGATTGTAGCGCTAATCACAATGTAAATTATTCAAACGCAAAGGAAAAACATTGTTCAGAGCGACACATCTTTTACTATTAATGGTTTTGAATAGGTGAACATCTTTACTTGAGCGATCGACACAGTTAGATCAACTCTTGTTTTCCTTTCTTGGGTCTATATCGTACGAGAAAAATTGGAAGTGCGCCAATCAGTAACAAAATCGTGATTAGATCGTCAATAAGACTGATCATTGTAGTCACAGTATGAGCTTTATTATTCGTGACCATATTTGCATACTCAAACTCAAATGAATCACATTCCCTACAATAAATTCTTTCTTTTCTGCCATCTACATGTTCTTTCTGTCGCAAACCAGCAAGAAGCTGTCGAAAAACAAACATGACAGCGAGAAAATTAATCCAGTTGTGGATTGAAGTGCAGCGTCATATCTGCTTTACCATGCATATGTTGAATAATGTTTGATGCAAGACTGACGTGACACTCTTCCGTTCTCGTGTTTTTTACTTATTTACTTTTTCTTTCATTTGTAACCATAATCTATCACTGTTTGAATGAAAGAAAGAAAGAAATGTATTTGTTGATGTATTCAACATTTTACACTATCAGAGAGAGCATTGACATGACAGATGTGTAAACGAGTGATGTGTTAGGATTTATCTGAAAATCTTATTTTAAAAGTTTGACAAAATTTCAGTGGAAGTTTTTCTGGTAATCTCTACCTGTATTTAGGTACCAAGCAGATTTACGAAATCATTCTAACAATGTTCGACGAAGATCATCCATGGGCGGAACGTTTATTGACCGTCGTAGCTGTCACATCGATCATTGGTCTTGTATTTTTCACGCTTGGTCTTCCACTGCCCATCGCTATGTTAATTATTGGTAGTCGCTATCATCAACCAACTGATTGCCCATTGGAACCTCGCATAAGTTTGTTTCTTATTGTCGGTGGTACTACAGCGATCGCCTGGCTTGTTCTCAAAATTGTCATTTCAACTTTAACAATATTCCTTAACGGGAATCGATCGAATATTCTTGCCGTGTTTATTATCTTTATGTCTTTAATTATCATGTTTATCCAGCTTTTCAACTTCATTTGGCTCATCATCGGTAGTGTGTGGACATTCAGCATTGCGAACCAAGTTCAATATAGCAATCCTGATATATCTAATTTTTGTCGACAAGGTCTTTACAGATTTACGTACGTCTATTTGATCGTAGTATGGGTTTTGCTTGGATTGCAATTTTGCTGTCAATTCTGTACCAATATCGGTTCTCAAAGGCAACAGTGATAAATTAAAAAATTTGTTAGAGACATGCATAGTGTGCGAAATTAACTATAGTTTTTTAGAAGTTCACCTGTTTTTCAATACTTTTTCAAATGTGTGAATGTGTTGTCTTCTTTAATCGAATTGTGCTCTCATGAGAATATTATCAGAATACTTCTTCTGATCTCTATGATTTGTTCAGAATCATGACGAACCAAAAAACATAGGGTGGGGTTTGTGTGCATATGGGTGTGTATGTGAAGGGTAAGTGTATTGGTACGAGATTTGAAGATAGATTGTAGGTATATTGATAAGACACGTGCAAATAGTGGCTGAAGTAGTTGTCGATGTGACCATTTATGGTGCTATTTTCGAATAAGGTCACATCCACGTCAATATCTACAGTCACAATCTAGCCATCTGAATTGGTATCAACAATAATTATGGGAGTGACACTTATTCATCAAAGTTCATAACATAATCAATAGTGAGTGTAAGTTTAAAACGAGATTTTTCGGCTCTAGTGTAGCCAGATGGTAGGAAGCGAAAGATCGTTGCATGCTCTTCCATAGCAATTGAAAAAGCAGCTAAGTAATATCAGTTCTTGGATTATTCTGAAGCCCTGTAGATCCTAACTAATATAATTATTTTGAGGATGTAAATTAATTGAATTTAAAATGTAGGCAAAAAACAACAGTATATGTCTAAATTCATCGAGGAAAAGGCCACTGGACATGATAACCTACTGAACAATGTTCATAGCAGGCTGCTATAGTACTTGAGTGTAGGCGTTGTTTATTGGCACACTCATACCAACATCTACATCCACACCCACACTCTAATGTCATGGTGCAATTTGTACTACATCCATTGAAATGAATTTCATGAAAAACTAATTTTATGTCATAAATGTAGGCTGATGAAATTCTTCTTCCTTTACTTTTCCAATTTTCTTTCTTATTTTGATATTTGTGATTTAGCTGGTGATGAACAATCACGTGATACTTGACGAAAATTGACTTAAACCGATCATATTTAATATTTGAATAATAATTTGTAAAAGCTGTTATGCAATTATTACATGAAAATCAATCAGTGACTTAACAATATATAATGTTGAATATTTAAATTAAGTTTGAAGTTGTATACACTGTACAAAGGATTGTTTGGTTTTTTTTCCATAAGCAGTAATTGTATTGAATGAACCAAAGACTGGTAGTGAATTATTATTACAATACGGTAAATAGAAAAATAAAGATTCGAAATATCTACGAAGATAGAATTTCAAGAGAGATGGATGGGAAAAATAATATTAATAAGAATGAAATCGAAACTATAATATTGTTCAGTATAAAAACAACTATTGAGTGAATATGAAGTATGATGAAAAGTGAAAATTGCGACTAGAACGTTTTTAACGGTAGCAATTTTGTCAAGACATCGCAATACCTAATATTGTTCTCAATATTGCACTGTAGAAATGCATGAAGTAACGCTAACATCTCAGAGATATATTTGTGAAGTTTCTGTTGTTAATTATTCAAAACTGATTTGAAATGAAATTTACTTGAAGACGAGATTAGACAGTTTTAAGAAAACACGATTCATTTTTCAAGTATGAAGCCAGCAATTAACTAAGTGGTTTTGATTAGATGATATCAATAAACTTTTGTTTCATTCCGTAATCGATCTGCATATATGCTTCAAACGGTTTCACATAGTTGGATTGTAGATGACGTACAACAAACTACCAGTTGTAATAAAAATATTTGAAATTGACTTTTTTTCTATTGAATTTTCATCAGATCATCTTGTTTTGGATAACCTGTTGAAAATATTGTTCCTAAAGAGCATATAAAAAGTCACTATATGAATCACATAATATTCTTTTCTCTTAGCCTGTCGAGTGACTTTACATTCGATACAGAGGAATCTTTCTTATTGAAATCAGAAATATCCAGGGCGATACTACTGCTGCCGCATCATCATCACGACAGTGTCAGCGGTGCGAGAGATATTTCAAAAATACTATTGTGGCAGCGATAGTCTTTTTTTAGGAAGATTGTGAAATTGCATGAATATGCACCCGATTTAAATGTCTACAAGCCCAACAGTCAAAATTGTGTTGAATTCTATGGATTCAATCTAACTTTGATAATTTAGCACAGTGATGCAGAAGATTTTCGAAGAATTTCTCGAAAATCATACTGACAGCGGCAGATCTTCAGCCGCAATGGATATCTCTGAGTGCAACACAAACTATACCGTGAGAATCTTTTATTTACAATTTATATCTATTATGTAGACATGTATTGGTTACCTTACTGGTATATCTCTTCAAGTAAAAGCAAAAGAAAAATACTTTTTTTCCTTCATTACATGTATTTCGTCGAACAAAAAGAAAAGGTTACATTTACTTCACATAGTCGAGGTTCTTCTTCTGTGGTTGTAGTTGATGATGATTTACTGGTAGTGAACGCTGCCAAATATCAAGAGCCCGTTCGAAAAATGAAAGTGCCTTTGAATATTCACTCATCTCGAAATACATCGAACCTATATTGTTGCAACAGTTAGCCAAATCAGGATGATTTGACGAAAGCGTTTTTTGACATATTCTCAGTTCTTTTTGAATATATGAAAGTGCATTTGAATAGCCGCTCATGTTCTCATACATCACACCAATGCTGTTGTAAGGATTACCTAAATCGGTATCTGCTGGTGAGATAATCCTCTCGGTGATTTCAATGGACTTTTTTGCAATAGGCAATGACAGCTGCATATTCACCTTGATCCATCTTAACCATCGCGAGCCTATAATAAATAATTGCTTTTTCTTGGTCAGTCGTTATTTGACTAAGCAGAATATCATATACTACTTGAACTTTGTTGAACTCCCCAAGTGTAATTATCAACACACCCAAACGATCCCATCCTTCGGAATCAAGATGAATCTCTGCTCGCATTGCTCGCATATATTTCATAAGAGCATGGAGTTCTAGATCGTTGTCGCTGGTCAATGTTAAATTGATTTCCCAAAGACGATTATTTCTATCGATTTATTTCATTGGCCCAATACGAAATATGGAATGCATAGGCAAGAGAATTTCTTTTTTCCTTTTATAAAACTTACATCACGGACGTCTGGAAATGGTAATGAGGCGACGAACGGATAAGTTTTCATGACGAATAAGATACCAACAAGATTGGGTGTTCGAATAGTTTTACGAGCGAAATTGAGTGAGACTTTAGATTCCTCACTGGTGAATAAGAAACTATTAAATGATAAGAGTTCACCTTTGCTTTTGACCAATCGATCAAAGTCATCCTTCGATAGCCTTTGGCCACCATCAACAATAAACGAACTGGAAGTTGAATATTCAGCAAACTGTTGAGCATGAAGCTTGGCGATATGGTTGTGGAGATCTCGGATGAAAAGCCCCATCTTAATGATGAGATCGACCTCCATCGTGCGTAATGATCGATTCAACATGAAATAAAGAAAAAATTGATACGCATATTACCAATTCGGACCATGGTTGTGGTACTCTCGTTGAATTTTGTCGACATTTTTCAGTTCTCTCGGATTCGCAGCAAATAATTGATGACAATAAGCAGTAAATTCATCGATATGTTGTTGTTTGAAGTCGATGATTAATAAAATTTCCTTCATTATTTGAGTATACATAAACGACGAATCCAATTCATCGAGATTTTGCTTGCTGTTTTTACTAGATGTGGTGACAAAACTGATCGAAATCATGTTTTGATTGCATTCTTGTGTCGCTTGTTGAAGGTCTTTACAGATAGGAGCAATATCTGTAAAGGCTCCTGTTGTTTTTGGCCATTGTTTGATCCGACCTTCATGCTGAACTTGGTTTTGGCTCAAAATATAGATAGTATCGACTTGTGAAATTTCGTGAATCATGGGAGCAGTTTCTTGCCCTAATGTATCAGAAAATATCATAAATACTTTCTCTTTTTGACTATCAGTTATAAAGCTGATACATTCGTTCACATCAATAAACAGATGTATCTTATTCACCACTTCTTCTAATTTGCTAAAGCATTGATATAATTGTTGTTGTTAATATCATCGATATTTGCATCGAGCCACGTCAAGACGAAGTTTTGAATCGTACGAGTATAAGGAACATCAGTTGTTGTTGTTGTTGTCGACTTTTTTCTTTTGCCCATGGTGTGTGTGTGGAATTTTATCACTGAAAAAACTGATTCGGATTTATAGAGTATGTTGAAATTTTTTCTAGATGTATCTATTGATTTTCGATTGTTGGTGCCGTTCGATTTCTTTTTCTTTGTGTTTCATTCAAATGCCTCACGTCCTTTTTTATCTGTTGTTATTTGGAGCGTTAGAAGAAGGGTGTGGGTGTTATGTTTCTTATATCCGCATCCACTCCTACACCTACATCCACATCCACACCCAACTTGTGATTCGTACATTTAAATATTAAAGAAGAGAAAACTTTCAGAAGATTACATAAAAGCTCTGCTTCAAACTGCATTAAAAACGAATCACTAACAGCCGTTTTTATTGAAAAAAGCTATGAAGCAGCAACAACTCAAATCAATGAAACATGAGAAATATAATTTCAGAAGCTGTTGAAAAACGATGATGCCATTCGTGGATTAATTCCGAACTTCAGCATCTGAACACAAAGAAGAATTAGAATATTTATGGTTAACAAATTGATCAAGTGCACGACAGTAAGAAAAATTTAAAACACATACGAATCGGTATTACGAACGTCGAGATAGATTGAGATTATTTATTACATGGTGACATTGAAGAACATAAAATAGAAAGTATTTGATTCAGCGAAACTTAAGGCGCATATTAGAGTTGAGTGTGGGTGGATTTTCTTGGCACCCACACTGAAGTTCATGTCATAGAATCCATTAATTTATAACATTCCCCGATCCATTGTGTTTCATATTTGAATGCCACAAGGATTGCGCTAACAGCTATTTTTTTCTAACTATTAAAACAAAACTTCAATTTTACTTCCTAGAACTTCACGACTTTTTCTTCTGTTTTTTTTTAATAAAAAAAATCTTTCAACTATTTATAAAAGATTTTCATATGAATTCTTTTTAATTTTGAAAATGAAGAAAATAAAACCAATATAAAATATTAAAAAGAATAAAACTAACTGGAAATACAATACGAGCAAATACATCAAGCTCACTTCGGCTATTTAAACCAAAACGTGATGTACGTTTACGTATAACATGTTTATATTTCGTATTTCCAGATACACAAAACCAAAATCGACGTAAATAACGAAAAATATTTCCTAACCATGGATTTTTATTTACTTGAATTTTTTTTACATTCATATTTGAAAAACGAGGATAGAATATTGATGGGCGAGAAATAGAATTAAATCTTGCTGCATTTTCTTCATTTGATAAAACACTATCCAAAGAATCTGGAAAATATGTCGATGGATCACCATAACCAAACTATAAAATAGAAATGTAAAATTACATTTTAACAAAAAATTGAACTCAATCAAACCTTTGTAAAATAATGAACAAAAGCAAATTGAAGTAAAGAAGCAAGTAAAAATGCATGAGTTACAATGACAAACCAATCTAGTGCTGTAAGATAAGGAACAGCAGCAGTGTAATTTCTTATATCAAAACTTAGAGTTGTTAAACTAAGAAAAGTCATAACACCAATATTCACTCGATCAGCTGTTGCTTCACGATGAATAAAAAATGAAACCCATGAAAGTATAACTAACATAGAACTCGGTATATAAACTTGAAGAATATAATAACCCATATGTCGTTTAAGAACAAAATTCACACGAAGAATTGAAAAATTTCCTATCATTGAAAACGAAATGCATGTTTTATTATGAACAGAAAACAATTAAGGTAAAAAGAAATTTTTTCTTTACTATCACAAGACAAATTGACAGAATACTCGAAGAGAATTTAGCGCTTATTTCCTTGAGTCTAATGTTGAGAATTCTGTTTTTTTTTTTTATTAATTTCGAATTTATTGCAAAGCAGGTATTTACCGGATATCCCAAAATGTTTGCAACATGGTTTACATTGCATATATCTTCACACAAATAAAATATACAATCTTGAATTTTTCTTTGCAAGATGAGTCGTTAAACCGTTGGCTAGTATTTAGTTTCTTATTCAAACTGAATGATTAAATATCATATGTTACTTGAGTTCTAATTAAAAAGACGAATTTAGTTTTGAATAATGTTGTAAAAATGAACTCGTTTTGGTCATGGGTGAGATTTTCTATGATGTTTTTTTGAAAAGAAATAAACAATAGAGAAAATGTCATCATTTTTAACAACCGACTAGGTGAAAAATGCTGTCGAGTCGGAAGAATGAACAGCAGAAAGCTCCACACATCTAAATATTTGTTCGTATGGCAAAAATAAATTAATAAAAACAATTCAAGATCTATTATTTTGAATTGAAATTCATAGAAGTTTCTAGAGAATTAGACGGTGCATCCTTTAAAGAAAAACTCAAAATGTTGTGCTGTATCTCTGCAGAAATATATGCATAATAAACAATATTGCATACATTTTGGGACACCCAGTATATTTGTACTAATTAGTTTGACAAAATATTTGTTCATTTTTCATTCTCTTAAAAAAGTCTAAAGAAGTTTGAAAATATTGGATGTGAATCGAAATTTTGTGTTGTTTCTGAATATGTCTTCAATTTTTTGTAGGACTTCTCATTTAAGAGTTCTGAACGAAACTTTTCAAAGTGCGTAAATTAAGTTTGGACGAGCTTTTAACAAGCCAAAACTTACTCAAAGTAGAACCAAAAATGATTTCAAATATAGCAAATAAAAGAGCGAACATTTTTCTATAAAACGGTATACTAATGGTGATTTAGCTGCAAGTCTTTTGTCAACAATAAATATTTTGTTAAATTACTATGTCACATTGTAGAGAACAATCCCGTTTTTTAATTCTATAACAAAAAAAAATCAGTAATCTAACGTATGAGTGAAATCTACATAAAAACGCATGCAGAGATGTATCATCAAGGTTTGAGTATCAAAAACTACTTATCTCACCATAACGATACATTTAGAAAATATTCGCATGATTCAAATATTTCATCAAAATTATTTCAAACTCGGAAAATTTCTTCTCTCATTAAATAATTATTCACTATCAACTATCTCCACATATATTCTACTATCGATTTCTTATTATTACATACGTCCATTCATATATCTAATTTCATCATATTGTGGATATTGAATAAGATCAAATTGTGATAATAAAACTTTCGCATCAAAATTAACACTCTTATTATTTCCTAAACGCCAACCATATTCAATATCTGATGCTGAATTAGCAACTACAAAAAAAAAAAAAAACATTTAAAATATTATCGTATGGTTTCTTTTTACAGCTGCCAATAAGTAATTGACAAATTTGTGTATCAACAGGAAATCTTTTCAAATTCATATTACATCTAGCTTTTACTGTTATTCTATAAATAAACAAACAAAAACACAATAATAAGAATAATAGAACAATATTGTTTTTTTTTGTTATTGTTACCGTGATGAATACCATATTGAACCATCTGGGAAAAGACGCCATAAACGATTACTTGTTGGTATTGTATGTAAATAAGAATATTTAGAATTATAAAATACTGTATCAGGTCTCCATAGACGTTCAAGCATACGTGTTGATAACGAAAGAACACCAACCTCTTCAGCAAATTGAAGACGTTCATCACGCCATCGTTGTCGAAAATAGCAATTCATTGTATAAGACTAAATATATTACAAACAAAAAAACATTTAAAAAAATTATTCATTTTATTCAAACCATATCCATATCTTGAATAGGACCAAATGAACTAACTAATATATCAAAATTAATTTTCGTTGGACCCTCTATATAAAACTAATGTAGATAAAACAGATAAATATTAGATAATATTTATACTACCTCCAAAATTAGGTCGAATATGTGCTTGATAATCTTTTAAAAGTCCATCAAGTATTGTTGTTATTTGATTTGTACGTCTTAATACAATGGTTGTATTATCATTATTAAATGTTTCATTCTCAAATGATTGTACATGATTTATCATATATATGTAAAGAATCAATTTTGTTATTATAACTATGTACATTTTTATGTTACATTGTCATTCAACAAAATCTACATATTATATTAATATTTTTAACACCGGGTGTTATTTACAGCTGTAGCTTGAAGCAATACAATGGAGAAACTTGTTTCAATTCTATTGGGAAAAAAATAATTATACACATCGATAGATCTTGTTTTTTTTTTATTACAGACAATTGTTGTTCTAGCGATCTATTTTCTATAGAATTTGATCGATGAAAGGAAAAAACATAATGTCAATATATATATATATATATATATTCTTCATATGTACGGAACATTTTATCCAATAATAGTAGTAATGAAGTTTTTGATCAGCTGCTTCGTCTTAGATTCGATCAATTAACCATAAAAGAAAAGCTTTATCCAATGATAGATAAATCTATGAAAGATTTGTATGTTCGACATCGAGAGAATCTATGATTATCATATTAATATGATAATCAAATAGATGAGCTTGAATTTGATAGAACATAGAACAATATATCAAGTTGGAAATTATGTTATTGTCGTCAAAGAATCTTTCTTTTTGGAAGGATAGAATTAAAATTTTAATTACATAAGTATATTTGATAGTTATCTCAGACATTTATTTATCAAGTCTTCTTTCCATGGTTACTGTTCTAATTAGAAAATAATCCCATGATAAAATCTATGATTAATGTCAAAGTACAAGTAAAGACTTATTGCCTCATGTTATTATGCTTGACTCAGTATTCGAATGATTATTGATATCTCAAATACTCAGAATTTTTTCTACATGGTTACTATAGATCATGTATTGAAGACGCTATTTAATAGCTATGTTTTTTCTTATATAACAATAATTGATTTAGATTTATTATCTTTCATATGTCAGCTGAGCTAAGATAAGTAAATATAACTAAAGTTTATTATAATTCTCTGTACAATAGTTGCAGACTTAGAAATAGATTATATATCATATAGAACCTTATTCAGACATTTTTCTAGGTCAGACAATGGAGTCATCTATTCTACTTGACTTTCGCTCGAGTGGCAATCTAGTCATACTTAATTTCCGAGAAATCAAATTAAAAATAGAAAAATATTATATTCAAATAGTTGCTTAATTTAATAATAGAAATATTTTATAACAGATCTCTTCGATAAAAAAATATATTATTATGTTTTACAACGTATCTATTGAATAGATTTTCTTCAACATATTAGAAGTTATACTAAATAATAAAAGTGTCAAATCTTGATATAAATTCGTATGAAACTGAAAAATATTATTTTAATATGAAGATTAAACAAATATAAGAACTAAAGCAGTTCTCATTATTAATTGAACTTGACACTGTATTAAATTATACTATACATAATGATAGAGATAAAGGATATGGGTCTTCTCTTCACTCATAGTCACATCCACATCCCTATCTAATTTAATAATTATAAGAACAAAAAAATATGTTGTTTGTCATTTTTAACTTCAATTCTTCTTTGATATATGTATGTACAATTTGATTATTATAAAAACATTATCTGACCAACTGTAATTATTGTTAACCGTACTAGTATGTTAGTGAGGTTTTCGTTTTTACGCCTTATTGTCAACAATAAGAATGAAACTAAACATTTATTATTTTTCAAAACTAAATACCAATGAAAAATAAAATTCCAATTCGTATAAAGTCTGTAAAAATGCTCACTGAATCGTTCATATTAGAATTGAGAGCTTTTTTCTTGTCGAGGAATGACGAGTAACTGATTGAATTTATAATTCAATTTTTATTTCTTTATTTCTGTATTAATTGACAACATATGATCATTGCAACACAGTGAGATTCTTAACCCAAAACAACAAGAATATTAATTTTGTCGGCTATAGATATGAAAAAGAAAGTTCTCAATGAAATAATAATTAAGGAGATGTATTTGTGGATAATGCAAGAAGGTTTGCAACTTCTTTCTTATGAATTTAATTTTGATACTTACTGAACGAGAGAAAATAGGCAAAATCATAATTCTCAAACAGTAGAACATTTCTTCTTGCTATTGTCACATTTCTATTCGTTATTTATTGGGGTTGCAAGTCAAATTACAATTGAAATATATTGACGAAAAACTATGTTATCTACTCGGCGTTCTTCAGTTAAAAGATCTCATGTGAATAAGCTTTATCGACGTCGATTTCACAACAACCGCTTGAGTTTCTATTATCTTTTCGCAAAAATTGTAATGAGCAAGATACTTTTGATAATTATGTAAACAGAGACATCGATACGCATCAAAAGTCATCCCTATACTCAACTCTGTTGTTTATGTGCAATGTCATCCATCAAGAGAAAATCATGGTACAAACCATAAAGAGGTATTTAATTGTTAGAACAATATTTATATATATTCCAATATTATCCACGATTCCAAAATTGACAATTTAAAAAAAGCGAAAAAATTCAATATTTATTCATCAGTCTTTAACTAATGCCTTAAAGTTATCGTCGAATTAGAGGAATCAAAGGAAAATGAAAGATTTCAAGAAAATAAAGAAAAGTTTAAGAAAAAGAACGAGCTCAAGAAGGATGCGAGAGTGTCGATATAGGAATTCTCTTTGATCACATCCACATTCGCCCGCACGTTTCTTCATATCCTGGATTTCCATGAATTTCTCGAATCCTATAACAGTTACAAGGTATAGATATCTAATTTTTTTTTGCATTTCTTGAATGCCTTGAATTCTTTAATTTCTTTGACTTCCTCAGTTTTCAAGATAATCTAAAGTACCACAGTCATTGGCATACGAACGTGTCTTGTACTTCGTGGTTTTCGTTTATCGTTCGCACTCTCCCCACTCCCATCCTGTTTTTGTGTGTATTGACTATGAACACATTGTGATATCTTTTAAAGTTATAATATCAATTTTGTTTCTTTATATAAATGATTATAATAGCTGGCTGACAATAAATGGAACAATGATCAGTGGAACAAACAAAATAGAAGCAGTGCAACTGTAGAGCAAGACAATAGACAGTCATCAATAAATAAATAGCCCAGGCGTTATTTATTGATGATGAACTTTAATTGACTGCCCGTAAATCTGATATCAGCTTATTCGAAGTTCCTAATCATAGCCTAGTGAGTTTTTTTGTTTTCAAGCCAAGGGGGAACAAACTGATTTCTACTACTAGAAATCAATTTGAAATCAATGAAATCAAAGAAATCAACAGAAATCAGAGAAATCAAAGAAATCAGCAGACATCATTGCTATTATATATATTTATCAATTTCTTGAAATTATCTGATATCGAATCGAAAGCAACAAAAATATAGTACTTCTATTCACTTTTTGTTAATCTGGTGACGAAAGAATGGTGTACGGGCCACGGATTTAGAGAATCATGCTCTTGCTGAGTAAACTGTATATCTTTTCTATTCTTATTTATCATTTTATTAAATAATTCATGAAATTATTAANAAGAGTATTTTATCTATAAGAAACATGACCGAGGACATAATTAACTTTGAGACGTATCTAAATAAAAATTACGTGTATGATGATCTAGAATAATAAAATTTTTGATGTTGAAATATTCTATTAATTAAATGTTATTTTTCATATGTTTTTTTCACGAAAAATAATCCCGTCCTGAAAGGGTTAATATTCAACTGAGAAACTTAACTAAATTTCAAATAAGTTTTTCTTTGAAAAAGACAATCTGTAAAATAATATAAATAATTTTCTAATTATTCAATACTTATTTTCTCATTTTTATATATTATCTTTTATAATATTCATAAAAATGCATTTTCTGTTTATTATTCTCAATATTTATGAATAAAATTCAATCAATTTCTGTATGTATTCAATATCATCTTTGTTTTCTTTTCGAATGCGACTCCATCAGAAACATATAAGAATCGGTGTGACTACCAATGAAATTAATATTACAGATAAAATCAAAGAATAAATGTTCATTTATAAATTAATTAGTCTATTCTTCATTTTCAACGGGGTCGTTCATTCATTTTATTCAATGACATCAATGCCGGGCATAAATAAACAATGAACGTATATATATATATACGCATCATAAGTAAAGCATTAGTAGGAGTCAATATGAATCAGTGTAACATTAATCTTCTTGATTTACCTAATGAGATATTACTTATCATTTTAAAAAAGCTTGATAATACGGATGTTCTTTATTCATTATTTGATATCAATAATCAACGACTAGACAACATATTGCAAAGAAATACTTTTACTAATAGTCTCAATTTTGTATTAACAACATTAACTGATGATATTTTATCGATTTCTGATCCAATACTTGATCGATTCTGCAAGAATATATTACCAAGAATTCATTATAATGTTAAATCTCTTATTCTTAATTCATTCTCTATGGAACGTATTCTTCTTGCTGGTGATTATCCGAATTTAACTGAACTTAAAATCTATAATTTTAATGAGAAAATTTGTTTACTTTATTTTACAGGTAAATAACTAATATACTGATATAATAGATAAAAAATTCTTCTACAGATATACAAGATAATATTTTTTTTTAATTTAGTAGAAACACCATTTAGACATATTTTTCAACAACAAATTACAGAACTTATTCTTGTATTTGAAAATGATTATAATGAAGAATCATGTGAATATTATACAACAAATGTATATGAATTTATTTTGAAATTTTTCGAAAATTTAGAACATTTATCTATTATTGGAGAATCGTATCCTAAATATTTTCCACCTTTAATACTACGTAGTTTACCCTTAACTACTTCTTACTCTTCAACTCTTCATAAATTATGTATTCATGTAAAGAATTATGATGATTTTTTTGCTTTACTCGATGGTCGTCTTAAACAATTAACTACATTGAATGTTGTTATCCGTGATAGGGGTGAATATCATTCAACGAATGTTTACAATATAGTAAGTTTAAACTTTGTTAGATTTTTACTAATCAGTTATTGTTTATTTGAACGAACTAAAATGAAATAATTTAGAACGCAGTGCTCGTCTCTAGCTGGAAGGAATAAATCGAATAATTGAGTTGCATTAAAATAAAAAAAAACAATATGTTTTAGAAATAGAACTAAAAATATTTATACTATATCGTTTCAGGATTTATCTAGTTTGAGAAATTGATAAGTGACCAAACTTATCTCAGTCTAATTTTTCCTTGACTACATTGAAAAAATCCTTGCTTTTTTTTGCTTTTAGTCATTTTCTTTATTTCGTAGTAAACAAAAGCACCAGCAAGATGAGTATTAAAAAGATAAAAAGGATCAAAAACAATCAACAAACTAAAAGTTGTGTGTGAATAATAAATTAAAAAGGATAAAGATTGCTAAATGTACAAAAGCTAGACCGAAGTGTCTTTGATTATAAATTCATGAATTATTCGATAAAGATTCTGATGATTTCATGTAACGGAAATAGTCACATTTATCGACTAATATGACTTTTCTATACAAATAATATTTTTCTCATATAATGAACTATAATAAATGATACTGATCTAGAATTTTCGAGTTATCTGTGTTTCATTTTGTGAGAATTCTTATTTTAGACAATAATAAAATATATAAATATTAATTCATATTTTCCAGGATGATCTACCTGATTTGAAATGTTTTCACTTAACATGTCATTGTTTAACTGATAAATATGATGGCCAAATTTTACCTCTTTTACGTCGTATGTCAAATATTGAAGCTTTAAATTTAGACATTACTATTGATAATCGATCTACATTTATTGATGGTAAACATATTTATAATGAAATTATTGTTCATATATCAAGACTTCGTACATTTAACTTCTGTTTTTGTATCTATAGTGAATTGAATCATTTAGTTCATCATTTATCTAAAGATGATATTCAAAACTTTTTCTAGCACTATACATCAACAAGTGAATTGCATCATGAAGTATCGACGTAGAACTGTC